TGGCCATTTTCCATTCCGACGGTAAACGAGCTGTTTCTAGCGATCGGTTGAAGAGGGAGCAGAGGCTTGGCGCGATTTCATTGCTACAAGTTTTAAGGGACGAGCAGAGATTTCGTCGGGCCCACTTGCTTTCGTGATGTCCAGAGCATTGAGATAATTTGTAACATCTTCGACTGTCACAGTGAGTTCGGTTAAACAGTATTTCGGGTGGAAGATAATCTAGTAAATTCCTATTGTCGATATCTTGTTGCGAAGAGGGAGGACGAAATACAGAAGAGAAGTATGAATTGAACAGTTCTGCCTTAATTACCAACTGGTGTAGTTGCTGTTTTGCCATTATGTGTTATTTTCGAAGTTGACTTTCCATGGTGGTGTAAGATAGCCTTGTGGTAACTCCAAAATAATTTTGGGTTGTCCTTGAAAGAACCTTCGATTTTCTTGAGATACTCGCGGTGCTTTGCCTTGTTCGCGTTTAGGATTTTGGTCGGTTGAAATGTCTGAATCACTTGGTTTTAAAAATTCGCATATCTTGACTCGGTCGGGAACACTGGTGATAACAAGATCGAGAATGTTTTCGCCTCTGGTGGGAGTTGTGTTTAGTTGTTCCAAGAAAAAGTAATTTAATAATTTGGTAAATGAGTTCTCATTAATGCAGGGACCGCGGAGACGGGGGGGCTGGGGGGGCTTTACCCCCCCCCCCACTTTTTTTGACAGCCAAAATTATTAAAATAGAAATCTAAATGAAACTTTCTAAATTAATTAAATTGTTAAGATACTCTTAGTTTATAAAGTAGCCTAGTAAAAGGATTGCTTAGAAGTTTGTAAAAGGTCTAAATTTTGTTACTTTTTATGACGATGGTCTTGGAGATTTTTTGCTAAAGTTCCTCCAAAAATGCAGGAAATAGCGTTTAAGGTAATAGAAAATTGAACATTTTCCTTGGGGATTTTATTGATGATTTAGCCCCACTCTCTAATACGCTCCGCGGGCCCTGTAACGTCAATAGCATTTTCACGCGAGTTCCAGCTCGCGCGCGGAAAATTGAAATCGCCAGCGACATAGAATATATAATAAACCAGAAGCCTCACTGTACACCTTTCCTTAACATTTTCGTGTCCGCGATTTTTGCCTTGCGGATCACGAATTTCGCACGCTAGGTGACGTGTGTGACACTTGCTGCGAACATCACGACAGCGTTCGTCAGCGTCACTTCCTCAAATCAACGGTTTTTCTTGAAATTCGAAAAACATGCTCAAAGTGTACGCTGCATATTCTGCAATTATTGTGCAAATATTTTACGCTTTTGTTTTTTACGTTGTGTCTTCCTGTTGGGATGACCCATTATTTGGACCTATGGCATTTAAAAACGGTTAAAACAGCAATCTTTATTACCTAGTGATGGCAATTGATGGCGTTGCTCGCGTTTGATGGCGTCGTGATTACACTTGCTGGCTCGCGCTTGCGCATAAAAAATCTCGGACACAATTTTGGCTGAGTGAGGCTTCTGGTCTATTTTCTATTCTGTGCCAGCGATTACAATTTTTGAATGACGTGTGCAAACATCTTGGAGAAAAAATTCAAATTTATCAATCCAAGTTTTATCAGCGTCTGGTGGACGATAACACGAACAAATAAGCAATTTCATGTCTTTCGCAGTTGTTATTTCAGCCATAGCAATCTCTTGATCTTATGAGGGTGCAACACAATCTTTTTCAAACCTGTCGATATCAACCGGGAACAGGTTGTGCGTTTTTACGCGTGTACTCAACTACACATAACTCAGTTTCCATATTTACCAAATGTAAGGCAAGTGGTTTCCATATTTAGCTGAAAGCTATTGGCTAAGACACGTAGTGACTACAATATATAATAATACTAATAATTATGTGTCAATTTATGCGCGATTAATGACACTGGTATTGTAGTAACATTGTGCATACATTTTTAGGACTACATACTTATACAAAATTACTATAGATTGTACATTTCCAGAACCATTATGCATATAGCCATTTAATTTCAAGTCATTTCAAGCTACAATCTTGGACAAAACCCTTGAGACAATTCCAGCCAATATTACAAAGTTATTGAACGTCATTGACAAAACAAACTTTCTCCCCCCCCAGTTCAATGCCGAAACAACTTTTGGTAAGATACCATGACACAAGCTCAACATTGAGTTGTGGGAGCGGGGGCTTAAGAAGGGTAACATGATTCAACATGGAGTTTACCATAAAAATATGTGAATTTTCTATAGGGGGAAAATAGTCTCAACCAGTTATGTCCAAGATTGTAGCATTGCCAGTAGACCCATGTGCACCATAGCGTACCTATTTTTATCACATTGTCGGCATTAAAAGAGCGTGTCCTTGTACACACTTTGTGTCCTTGTAAAAGGCGAATGTGCCCTTGTAAATTGAAAAGTGTGTACTTGAAAATATATTAAACAGAAAATATATTAATGTAATCCACGCGAAATGGCCAAATATTTTCCAAATTCTGTTCTCAGAACACTGGAAATGCCATTTCAGAGACCCCCTTAAAAGCTCGCGTCTTCGACACTAAACTTGTGGCTTGGCCACTCGTTCTCGTGAGTCTGCGCATTTATACCAAAAATACGCCTCTGAAGGCAAAGTGTGTCCTTGTAAAATTTCCGTATTTTAATGCCTGCACATAGCCCGCGTGCAGGCCCAAGGGAACTGATAGTGGGCCTGCAAGCAAGGCCCGGTATTTTGTACTTTCCGCGTTCGCCCACGAACGCGGCATTCTGATTGGCTGTTTGCTGTTGGATTCTATAATTAGGTCAGTGATTCATCACAAAGGCTCTCGATACTCTCTCGATAAGCTTAAAATTCGAAAATTGATCACTTTTTTCGATTACAAATGGAACAAGAACAGACTGTTTATTGTTTACTTGAAGGAAGAGATGTTTTTGTCGTTATTCCAATGGGGATAGCTTGTCGTGAGGTGTTGGAATAGCAACATTACGACTGAGGTAAACTATGTTTACTGAGTTTCATTAATTTCAAACAGACTTGATACGTTATATGTTTCTCAAGAAAATGATCTTTTGGTTGATGTTGAGATGCAGTTGCATGTAAGCCTATTCGAAACACTTTGCGATTTACAAGGCTTCGCTGAGAGAGCGAAACAGAAGACGGTACTAAATTGCCGTTTGAAACGAAACGATCTGGACTCTGAACGCTCTCTTCTTTTGTAGAGTTCTTTACCAAATGAAATAACTGAAATAAATTTCGTACTTTCCACCGCCAACAAGTATTGCACACACGATCTGATAAGTGAGGCAATTTATTTATAACAATGCCAATGGCGACAGCGAAGCACACATTATAAATGCTAATGTGGTCGCACGACTTCCCTCACGATTTGAAGTTTGAGACTGGTTTTCTGTTGAAATTCGTCCTAATTTGCCTGTTCCGATTTTAGTTGAAAATGAGCACTTGGAAATTTGGCAATTACTGACTGCGTTGCTTGCTTTTTTGGAGTTAAAACGCAGCCATTTACACATTGTTTATGTTCTGAATAAGCAGAGAAAAAACCCCGCAACATTTTACTGTCGTTCCAATTAAAGTGTTCCTCAAATATTGATTCAATACATTACCTCGGGCTGACCAATTCATTTCATCAAGTTCCTCGAAATATTCATACACTTTCTAGTATAATTGTAAACTTCCTGTTGAATAGTTTGAATGCACCAATCACCTTTGTTGTTTGTGCAACTAACCAATCATAAATAGAAAGGAAGTGACCAGAAATGATCAAATACTTGGAATTGGCTCTTTCACAGGAAGTGTATGAATATCTCGTGGAACTTGATCAAATGAATTGGTCAGCCCGAGGTAATGTATTGAATCAATATTTGAGCAACACTTCAATTGGAACGACAGTAATGCGAGTTTGTTTGTTAATATTTGGGTGCTGTCATTGGTTCTTTTTTGACAATTGACGCGCGAGTGGGGCGTGTTATGAAAAGGGGCGTTTTACAAAATACCGGGCCTTGCTTGCAGGCCCACTATCAGTTCCCTTGGGCCTGCACGCGGGCTATGCCTGCACATTGTATAACGCTCTTTATCGTCTCTATCATGGTAACAGTCTAGAGCAGTGGCGTTCGAAGGAGACGCCCAAAACCACAAAAATAATTGAGAATTTTTAAAAATTTGCGCTGATCAGCCAATTAATAAGAATAATCCATCCTGACTCACGGGCACCATAGATTCACAAATCATAATGAAAGAATTGATGAAATGGCTTAACGAAAGAGGTAGAGAAGACTCTGAGAATGCCAGTTCCGACAATGTAGAGACTTAACATTTTCCCAACTATTTATAAACTTTACAATCAACAAGACGATTGAAGGTACAGACATCAGGACTGAGGAGTCCCAAATTAAGTCCTACCTACACATTACATTGACATTGTAAAACAATAGAGACAGGTTACAAATTTAACAAAGCTACAATACAAAATTACAACACACGATCAATGCGTTCCAAACCACCCTTACACTTTCCAAAGTTAATATGAACTAGACATGGACCGCCCATATATTGCAATCCTTTCTTATTCCACTATGGTGTCGCCAACCATGGTGGTGCCACGTAGAATTGCCCCTAAGTTGATCAAGCTTCCAACGCCCGTGGTCTAAAGTAGAGACATGTGCTTAGCAAAGCTTATTCATAGCATTTGGCTTATTGCCATCGTTACAATCACAAAAATTTCATGGCTGTGTATTAGTACGAAACCCCTTTTAACGTTACACACGAATAATTTTGAAAGGATTCAGATTCTAAAAATAGTGTTATAGCCACTGAGCTGTATAATAACTGCTGAGCTGTGTAATATATTATAGCTCAGTGGTTATAGCCGGCCACAACCATTTTTAATTATCCAAATCTTCGGACGCTTGGTACATCGAAGAGAGTAGAGGGAATTAGCAGAGGTTCCCTTCTCTTCCTGACAGAAACCGCAGTGATTGGAAACCTCTGCTCGCAGGGTAATGGCGGTGAAATATTTACTTAGCTACCCCTCGCAGGTCCCCAAAGGCGTGGAGGGCGTGGCACTCAAAATTTGGTAGCTACGTGATCAGTGTTCTCCATGGTTTTCCTCCTGGTGGGAATCTAGAGGAATGAGCGTGGGTATGAAGTTGATAATCATCCAGGCCATGATATTCCGTGAATGATCTAATAAATGGTAAATCTCCAATAATGCCCCCGTATCTAATAGATACCCCGTCAAACCATAATTTCCTAATAGACGCCCCTCTACACCCTCATCAAATATACATCCCTTATAAACCAGCCAAATTCTACCCTCAGAATTATTTCGCGAAAAAAAGTGTAGGTAAATATGAGTTTTGAGTAAAAAAATCCGTTTACTTTAGCCTTATCTACCATATAATAAATAAGGCTTGCGCAATGCTTTCGTACAAACAACCGATTACCTTGTTAGAAATATACTCAACATAAAACTTATCGCTTAAATCTTTCATCATAAAATTAAATTTAAAAATTATTCTCTTAACACTTTCGTATATTAATTAATTTTATAATATTAGTTTAAGTAATGCATTATTAAGTAGATATACAATACAAATTTATATTAAAAAGACTAAAAATAAATTATATTTTAAGTCACCGATCTTTTCTTGTAGTTGTTAAAGGCTCAGTGTCACCTGTTGAGCGATGTTATTTAATTGCTAAAATTTACTGATTTCATTTGATTTTTTACACGATATTCTCAAACTGGGCCATGTGCGCATGCTCAACAGTTAATTTTAGCAATTAAATAAGATCGCTCAACACGTGACACTGAGGCGTTTGCTTCTAGAATCCTTTCCATGCATGGTTAATTAAATTCAATATTATATCTTTTTTAACGTCGCCAGGTTTGAAAAAATAATATAGTTCCTTCTGATAAAATTAAATTATAATAAAAAAAAGATAGAATGTTTTAAAATTGTACGCACATTAATATGGCTTTTCTAATCTGTTTAGACTTGAAGAATGGGCCTTTTTATTGGGAACTACAAATGAAATTGCTTTACTTGGCATAAAGTGTTTGTATGAATTGCAAGATGTTGATATTATGAAATCAGTTTCCAGTAAATTTCTGGCAAGAGATGGAAAGCTGGATTTAAAAAGCCTAAATATTGCAGCAGTTGATTCAGCAGCATTGTTCACGTTTTTGGGTAACAGCAAGAATTTAAAAGAACTTGCTTTTTTTGAATGCAGAATACAGGACAACTACAACTACCATTTCAAGTCGTTCATGGTGAACACTGCAGGTAACAATATTACCTCATTTATGTGGTATGATGGATATTTAGAAGATGTAGCAGTTGAATATCTTAGTGAAGCTTTAAAAAGTGAAAATTGTAAACTTACTGAATTGAATCTCGTTGCTAATGAAATAACAGATCAAGGTGTTGAATATCTTAGTGAAGCTTTAAAAAGTGAAAATTGTAAACTTACTGAATTGAATCTCGTTGCTAATGAAATAACAGATCAAGGTGTTGAATATCTTAGTGAAGCTTTAAAAAGTGAAAATTGTAAACTTACTGAATTGAATCTCGGTGCTAATCAAATAACAGATCAAGGTGTTGAATATCTTAGTGAAGCTTTAAAAAGTGAAAATTGTAAACTTACTGAATTGAATCTCGTTGCTAATGAAATAACAGATCAAGGTGTTGAATATCTTAGTGAAGCTTTAAAAAGTGAAAATTGTAAACTTACTAAATTGAATCTCTACCGTAATGAAATAACAGATCAAGGTGTTGAATATCTTAGTGAAGGTTTAAAAAGTGAAAATTGTAAACTTACTAAATTGAATCTCCATGGTAATAAAATAACACATCAAGGTGTTGAATATCTTAGTGAAGCTTTAAAAAGTGAAAATTGTAAACTTACTGAATTGGATCTCGCGAGTAATAAAATAACAGATCAAGGTGTTGAATATCTTAGTGAAGCTTTAAAAAGTAAAAATTGTAAACTTACTGAATTGAATCTCCACGGTAATGAAATAACAGATCAAGGTGTTGAATATCTTAGTGAAGGTTTAAAAAGTGAAAATTGTAAACTTACTAAATTGAATCTCCACGGTAATGAAATAACAGATCAAGGTGTTGAATATCTTAGTGAAGGTTTAAAAAGTGAAAATTGTAAACTTACTAAATTGAATCTCCACGGTAATGAAATAACAGATCAAGGTGTTGAATATCTTAGTGAAGGTTTAAAAAGTGAAAATTGTAAACTTACTAAATTGAATCTCCACGGTAATGAAATAACAGATCAAGGTGTTGAATATCTTAGTGAAGGTTTAAAAAGTGAAAATTGTAAACTTACTAAATTGAATCTCCACGGTAATGAAATAACAGATCAAGGTGTTGAATATCTTAGTGAAGGTTTAAAAAGTGAAAATTGTAAACTTACTAAATTGAATCTCCACGGTAATGAAATAACAGATCAAGGTGTTGAATATCTTAGTGAAGGTTTAAAAAGTGAAAATTGTAAACTTACTAAATTGAATCTCCACGGTAATGAAATAACAGATCAAGGTGTTGAATATCTTAGTGAAGGTTTAAAAAGTGAAAATTGTAAACTTACTAAATTGAATCTCGTTGCTAATGAAATAACAGATCAAGGTGTTGAATATCTTAGTGAAGCTTTAAAAAGTGAAAATTGTAAACTTACTAAATTGAATCTCTTCGGTAATGAAATAACAGATCAAGGTGTTGAATATCTTAGTGAAGCTTTAAAAAGTGAAAATTGTAAACTTACTAAATTGAATCTCGGTCGTAATAAAATAGCAGATCAAGGTGTTGAGTATCTTAGTGAAGCTTTAAAGAGTGAAAATTGTAAACTTATACTAAATTGAATCTCGGTTATAATGAAATAACAGATCAA